GATTTAATAATAATAATAATAATAATAATAATAATAATAATAATAATAATAATAATAATAATAATAATAATAATAATAATAATAATAATAATAATAATAAAGAAATTAATTTATTGATCTCATAAAAATTATTTATGATAATTTATAATATTATAAAAAAATATTTTAAGCTATTGAATAATAGTAGCAAAGTTAAAAAACAACTGGCTAAAATAACTAAAGTATTACAGTAAACATACAGCATTTATATTGTATACCGAATCTTTGCGAAATTTCCAAAACCGTGAGGGTAAGGAAAACGACTACGAACATTTATTAGATAAAGGTAAATATTTAACAAACCATAATTCAACAATTCAATCAGTAAAATTATTTATGTGCAGCATGGAGAGTATAATTGATATTCTTAAAATTAGTTGGGAATACGTTAATGAATAATTAAAGAAAATCGACGTCTATAAGATTTTATGATCGCTTTCGATCATAATTACAATAGCTAAGGCAAAAATAATTTTAGGCGTGCCGATCGTTTAGCAGCAAAGAGAAATAATGTGAAATTCACAATGCCGAAATTTTTAACAACTTCCTTTGAATATTGATTTGTAGTTTCATCAATTCGATTATGGGAAGAGTTACCATCAGAAATTGTATATGCAAGCAGTATTGAAATTTTTAAAAATAAATTGTACGATTACTTATTTAATCTAGATATATGAGCTTTACCTTTGAATTCTCTGATCCATTTCTTAAATCTTAGATTCATGTCTCTGAATATACTCTGTACTAAGTGACTATAATGTTTACAATGTTAGGATTACTAGGTATTAACCTAGGGATTAACCTGTGCAATTGTAAATTATTGTAAATTTTTAAACCCGACCTAGTCATTATTGCTAATCACTCATTGCTGACCGATATCAAAAATTTATTCATATGTATTATACTTATATCATACTTACTTAATGTACATTCAGTTAACTCAAATTCTTAATTATTTAGTAAACTTTTATACCAAACACCTATCTTAAGTTAGATTAAGAACATTACTGTATCATTTAATTTGTAATTCAACTTTGTCATTTGGCAATTTGCCTTGGCATAAATTAATAAATCTAAATCTAACTTTGACCAAGTTTGTGGTCATTTAAAATCGTTATTTCCGAAAATGATGTGCACAAGTTTGCTAATTAACTTCAGCAAAATAATTAAAAATGCATTGGCAGAACTAGTCTCGATTCACGCTGTAGTTATTATGTACACTTGAAATCTATATTTTATTTTAGATGAACAAGATCTTCCAATTATTGAATACACTCGAGTGTTCAAAAATAAAAACCTTTAAACGACTATTGCTGTGATATCACATTTCTTGTTTCATATAAATGGGAGAAAAATAAATAAATCCCCAAGTATTATAGGTGAAGTAAAGTGAACCCATAGAGGCGTGTTAATGTTAATCGAAGTAGTCTGTGAACCCATAGTAACCTTATCATACTCCTTCTGAATTATTGATGTCCATCACTTTCGTCCAAGTTTTTTACTTATTTTCGCACCATCTTCCACATGAATTTATCGTATATTTTAACCGTACATAAAGCAACACATACATACAAGAGGCACCTGGTTCTACTCGTCGATCCCCATGGGGATGTACCTACAAAAAGAACTATTGGCCTTTTACCCAATTCCAACCAATTTCATCGAAAGTTCCGCTTAATTTTATTTTCACGCGTCTGCAGAAGCCAAGAGACTTATTCTGATCACCCTAGTAGACTGGTGAGGGATCAGCTCTCTTACATAAGCTCTTTTATCATCACAATCAGCACTTGAAATACCGACTTTTTATAGCAATGAACAACTTAGAAATAACGCAATAACGTTATCCGATAGAGTGATCCTTAACAAAAAGACTATTGGATAACTTTTAAGTATTGTTAACCATTTACAAATTTAAGAATACTGGATATTTACAAACTACTAGAATCCTGAACTTGATAAAAAATATAAATTATATAAATCAACTGAATTCTAAAACAACAACTGTCGATTTTTATTTTCTTTATTTCATCAGTAACTTTTTTTGAGCAGAAAATAATAAAAATATAAATTATTCTGCTTTTATTTGAAAAATTTTCAATTTAGGTATCGAATTTTCGTGATGAGTCATTTTCTTGGTCTTATAGTGTGGGATTAATGAATTTTAAGATTTTAATCGAAATTCTGAAAATTTTTCTGCTCACAATATGACGTTTTTGTATGACGAGCATACACGGAAAAAAAGACTGTCAAAATTACAGAAAAAACTTTAAAATTTACAGATTTACCGCTGTCAACCCAAAACTGTCAATTTTACAAAGTTAAAAATGTTATTTTCACATTGTGGAAACTGTCAATCTAAAACTGTTAATTTTATAGTTTTTCAATGTAATAATGACATTAAAAAAATGCGAAATTCACTTTAAAAAAAAAAGTGAAATTTATGTTAAAACAATAATTGAACTTGTTGTTTATGAGTAAGAATTTTACATCTCGTCAAATGTAAATAATAAACAAAAAAATATTTATTCTAAAAATTAAAGTTTTAACTGAAAAAATTAGATAAAAAAATTAGGTCACATGAAATCATTTTCAAATCTGCAAACCATAGAAATTAAAAAACATTAAGATACATATAACTATAATAATGATTATTAGACATCTATATTGTTAAGAGAATAAGCAAACTTCTGTGGCCAGTGAATTTATATGATAAAATGGGTTTTTATGATTAAATTTGGTATCGTTGGAAAAATCTTGACCTGGAGTTGGGTCTTTTCATGGTTTCATTTCATTCTCACCAATAGTCAATTTATGATGATAAGCACTTAGCCTGCACTCGAAAATGCTCTATCTCTAGATACATAATTAAGAAATGACTTTGTATCTTGTGAACTATTGACATATTTAAAGATATAAATTCATCACGATGTTACATTCATCGAGACCTTTCATTTGAGTATCCACATCAATTTTTCATATATTTATATATATTAGACAGGGCCAAAAAAATTGACTATTTTTTTTCTTTAGCTATATCGAAAATATTATTCAGAATGAAAAAAAAAAAAAATTTCCTGAAAGTTTGGGCCATTAATATTAATTTTAAGAGGTCTATCATCGCTATTTTTGATTTTAATTTATAGTTTGATGTTTACGTCAGAACTGCGAAAAAATTGGAGCAAAAAAATTTATTTCCACTTATTCTTATGTAAAAACAAATTTCCTACAAAAAAGGTCTCATTGAAAATTTTCGTCAGACGAGAATTTCAAACACAATTATAATTTATCGGGTATTCCAAACGTGTAAAAAAATAATGTCACATTCAATTTAAGTCTACTGTTTATAAATCTTTCTTAGAAAAATGTTTTTAGCTACTGAGTGAATAAAAATAAATTCAAACAAAATTTGTTTTAAATTCGTTGCCTCAAAATTTTTGAAAGTTCATGCGTTGCTCTAAAACAAATCAAATAAGAATTTCATCGAAGTCTCAGAAAAATCGACAAGGATCGGGGTCATAAGTGGTTTGGCATGGAATGCCCCATAAATTATAATTGTGTTTGAAATGAATTTCACAACATCTATTTTTGTTATTATTAATTAAATAGCCACAATTAAATTTTCCTTCCATATGAATGTAAACAATATTAAAAATAAATAATTTTTAACAGTAAAACTCAATATTTGTTTGCTCAAAAATTACTTCAAGACAGTAAAATTATGTTATTGTTTAGAAATAATCTATTAAGCAAAAATAAATTTTTATTTATTGTGAAATTTATATATTTTTGTAATACTATTGTTAAAATAATGATAAATATTGAAAGATTTTGTAGAAATAATGCTTAATGATGATTGAAATAGTTAATTTGTTCCGTTAAGTGCAAAAAATTGAGTTAAGAATGAAAAACTCAAGATTTTAATTTTTTCTTCCATTTTAATCGTCAATAACTTTTGAAAAAGTGAATTTAGGCTAAAATGTTAAGAGACCTTTTTTATAGAGCATTAGATTTCCTTCAAAAATCTGTCATAATCTTTTTTGGATATTTATTGATTCGTTAGTAACGAAATTCCGAAATAAAAATGTTAAATCGAAAAAACACATCAATTTATTAAGCTTAATTAATCGGAAACGGCTCGTCTGACGAAAATTTTCAGTGAGACCTTTTTTGTAGGAAATTTATTTTTACATAAGAATAAGTGAAAATAATTATTTTTTTGTTCCAATTTTTTCGCAGTTCTGACGTAAACATCAAACTATAAATTAAAATCAAAAATAGCGAGGATAGACCTCTTAAAATTAATATTAAGGGCCCAAATTTTCAGGAAATTTTTTTTTGTCATTCTGAATAATATTGTCGATATATCTAAGACAAAAAAAAATAGTCAATTTTTTTGGCCCAGTCTAATATGTATATATGAAAAATATATCAAAATGCATGTGGGTACTCAGATGAAAGCTCTTGATGAGTGTAAGACCAGGATGAGTTTATATCTTTAAAAACATCATTAGTTAAAAAGTACAGTGCAATTTAACATAATTAAGATACGACTTTATATCATGTGAATTATTGATATTTTTAAAGATATAAGCTCACCCCGACATTACACTCATCGAGACCTTTCATTTGAGTACCCACATCAATTTTTTATATATTTATATATATGTATATATGAAAAATATATCAAAAATACATGTGGGTACTCAAATGAAAGCTCTTGATGAGTGTAACATCGGGATGAGCTTACACACTAAGAAAAAAAGTACTACTCTTGAGAAAATTTTCTTGTCACAAGAGTATATTTTCTTGATAATTTTCAAAAAGATATTTTCTTGTCTCAAGAATTGATCGAATTAATCGAAGTATTTATTGTTTAATTCAAGTCAACCTATTCGTTTGTTAATCTGTCCACAGAAAAAAAATTTATTCGAATCAAGTAAATAATTTTGAAGAATTTTATCTTCTTGATTTGAGTAGAAAAATTCTTAACCCAAAAAATTTTTCTTGGTTTAAGTAAATTTTACTTAATTCAAGAATTTTTCGTCTTGATTCAAGACAATGAAACTCTTCAAAATTATTTTTTTGGTTCAAGAATTTTTCTCTTGAATCAAGTTAATTTTTTTTTCAGTGTCGAAATTAATGCCAACATTTTATTATCATGATAAATATTGATATTTTTTTGTCAAAAAACCAAAATTCATTTTAAACGATTCTTGAGCCAAGAAATTTTTTTCTGGACAAAATTTTTTTTTTCTCAGTGCATATTTAAAAATAACAATAAGTAAGAAATGACTTTGTATCTTTTGAACTATTGACATTGTTAAAGATGTAAGCTTTTTTTCAAATTTTTTGGTTTGAATTTAATTTTTTTTTTTTTTAATCAAGGTCTTTTTTTGCTTCATTTCGACTTTTTTTCTTTGAGTTCTCGGCGATACTCAAGACTTGTAAGAATCGTGGTTTTCCCTCGACGATGTTTTCTGGGAGGAGAATATCTAGATTTTGATAATATTGGCTTAAAAAATAAACAAATTGTTTTTCATATGAGTTTTTGGGGAGAAGACTGTCGTACCCCACAAAAAAAATTTTTTTTTTTGATTTTTTGCAAAATTTCGACCGATTTATTAGAAACAGATGGACACTAAATGAATTTGATGGTTAAAAGCCGCAAAAACCGTCAAAAAACCGTTAAGAGAGCCGTCGTGCCCCAGGCTCCTCTAATTAACTTTTTACATATTATTACTGTTAATTTGACAGTTTTTATCTGTAAATCTGACATCGTATAGTTATGTTATTTTCACATATTATTTCTGTAAATTTGACAGTTTTTCTTTGTAAATCTAACAAAATCTGGCCATGTCAATTTAACATTTCCATATCTGTCATTTCCACAGATTATTTTTTTTCCGTGTATAGTTCGTGCGGTTAAAAATTCAAAAAAAAATTAGGAAAACGGTTGACCCTGAAGGCCATCCTTGCAATTTCCCGCTAATTCCATACCGAGGCGCTTAAAATTGCACTTATAATGTTTTTCAGCTTTTCGAGGTCAAAATACAATTTATGTGTTATTTTGAGATGTCCGAGCTCAAAGAGATAGCTTTTCTATGCTTTTGAGCTCTTCTAGCTCAAAAGTCTGATGGACGTTTCATAGAACACTATTTTGTGAATTTTCACCGATTTTTACCTGGTTGGCGGCATTTGACGTAGTTTTTTTTTTAATCCGATATTTTTAGATTAATGACGTTTTATTAATGCTTCTTTTTTTAAATGTTCATTTTTAAAAATGAATTCATTTAGAAATTTTATTATTTACAGTTGGCTGTCTTTTTATTTGTCACATTTTAGTACAGGTATAATTTACTTTTAACTTTATTTATATTTTTAAAATTTTTATAATATGATTTTTTATGGTTTGCTTATTTTACAAATTAAAAAATTTCATATTTTCCAATTTTAGAGTTTAGAAACAGCCAAATTTATTGATGGCCATAAATCCCTAAACTTAGAAACCGATTCAAATTAATGTCCACGAATATATGTCCATCCCTTTTGAAACATTGGGCAAAGCTGCTAATGCATATTATGCTGAAGATTTTATGAAAGAATTTTTGGCGAAAGCTTATGAATTTCCATTGTGGACGTCTGCATGTTTTCCTAACCAAGTTGAACATGCAACAACTAGCTACGTTGAGCAATTTTTCGGAAATAAAAAAGAAAGAAGCTTGATAAAATGGAACAGTTTAGTACGTGCAGATGTTTTTTTAAAACATGAGTATCAAGAATATACTGGAAGTTCTGCTGAATTACAATCAAATTTGATTACCGAAAAAGAACGCGAGGATTTGAACAATAAAAGAAAACAAGATGAGAATGAATTGAATAAAATTTTAGATAATAATAAGCAGAAAAAAATTATGATTCCTCTGATAATTTAAAACAAAATAACATTAATCAAATATTCAATAATGACAAATTAGTTGATAATACTAGTATTATTATAAACGACTCCGACAAAAACATTCCATTCACTTCTACACCTGAAAAAAATTTTGACATTGATTTAAATATTCAAATAAATAGTCTAGAAAATAGTGAACATCTAAAAAATGATTCTAATGATTTAAAAAATAGTGATGGACTTTATCAAAATGAAAGTAGTGATTCTTTAAAAGATGTTGAAAAATCGGTGACTGATTGTAATTTTACATTAAGCAATATGTCTGATGGAATACTTTTGAGTAGTATAGACTTTGAAGATGGGACTAACGACAAGCTACCGTCTACTGCAATAGATGAAAATAATAGAAAAATAATTAAAGATATTTCTAAAAATGAAGAAAAAATATTGGATGATTCTGATTTGATTGCAGTTGATAATTGGAGAAATAAAGGTCGACAATCTCGTTATGATTACCACAATTCTTTGAATAGCAGTGACGAAGAGAATGACAAATCAGCTGTAAAAGTATTTGAAAAAAAAATCATTGCGTCACCTAAAAAATTAGCAGTTTACAATAGCAGTGACGAAGAGAGTGACTTATCAGCTGTATTTGAAAAAAAAATTACAGCATCACCTAAAAAATTAACAGTGATAAATAGCAGTAACGAAGAGAATGACATATCAGCTGTAAAAGTATTTGAGAAAAAAATTATAGCATCACCTAAAAAATTAGAATTATTACCACAAAAAAACATTTTGAATAAATTGTGCAGTGTTAATGAAAATAAAACTAAAATTTAATCATCCTCCACACATGTAAACTTACACAATGAATTGAAAAATATAAGAAAAAAAGAAGCAAATGCCACAGAAAGTAATCGAAAACATCTAGGTTTCCACTTCCTGCAGACACCTGATATCTTAGACCAAACAATAACCCCGGAAAACACTAATAAGACTAGTACATTTGACACTAAAAAGAAAAAAAAGTTGGGAATTTTACAAAATGGTAATAAGCGGAACCCCATATCTCTAAAAGGAATTAATGTTTTATTATTTAATACTTGTGCGATTGATTCGATTATACATGTTCTAGCTGTAACTGGAAAAGATGATCCGCAGTTTCTAAAATATATGAAAGAGAATTCAAATCAAACAATGAAATTTATTTGTGAATTTATTGATAAAGGACCAGTCACATCAGTATATAAAAGTCGAACAGTGTTATTATCTCAGTTATTTAAAGATAGAATTGTAGAAAAAAATAAAGAATCTGTTTTATATGCGAATGAGATAGATATGTGGTCTAGTATTTTTGATATATGGACAAGATGTTTTCCTAATTCTGCGTGTTTTAATCACGATTGTAGAATATGTGGCTTGCATAAAGTACCTGTACCAATGGTACAGGTAAACCATAAAATATTATGGGAAGGTGGATATAGTAAACTTGAAGAGTCGATATCTACATTTGATTCCAAGATACGGTGTACAAAATGCAAATTAACTATGATTAATCGGTCACTGTTATTCAATAGATGTATTTGCATTGAACTAAATGTTCAAAAATTGAAAAGTGGGCCGTTAACATGCAAACTAAGAGATATGCCTGCAATTATTCAATTAAATAATTTTAATTATCGGTGAGTATCAATTATTTATTTTTGTCAATAGCACTAATTGTACTTGAATATTTTTTAATGAAAAAAATTATTGTTTGTTTTATTTTACAGGTTGCGAGGAATAATAGAATGTGAGGCAGGTCATTTTAAATCATATTGTAGAAGAGGCCAGAATTATTGGAGCTTATATGATGATAAAGCAACGACTGCAACAAAAGTTTTATCTTCGAAAGATGTAAAACCTGATGCCGTTATTTTTACAAGAATTCTGTAAAAATGATCCTTTTTCTGTTATAAAAGTTTATTTGTATTTAAACAAAATTAGAAGATTTCTGGCATTAAAAAAAAAAAAATTAATTTCATAATTATTACTTATGATCATTAAAATTTGAATTTTATCTCAGCTATAATTTTTTTTAATTAAAAAATACATAAAATCACAATTTTTTTAAAGTGATACTCCGTAAAATGAATCAAGAAGAAAAAAAGTTGATAATTTAGCATAAAAAAGTTAGTAATTTGAAATAAACAAAATGTAATTTTATTCAGAACAATTTATTTTATTTAAATACTTTATTCTTGTTCGCTTATTGTTGTTACTGTTAAAAATTATTTATTTGGTCTTAATTTTTCAATGTTTGTTAATTCAGTAACTCAATTTATTCTTTTATGTTGTGCTTCAATAAGTTTATTTTTTGTGATAAATTAGTTTATTTAAAAGATTTAAAATCTTTTCTATTGTTAATTTAAATAGAAAACATTTATTTTATATCAAAAAACTTATCATCTGTCCCCATAAAACTAAATATTTTTACCGATAATCATCATCAGAAGTTCAAGATGAACAATTCAATGATAATTTCCAAGTACAATACAGTATTATAAAAATTTCATCATATAGCTATTATATCTTGCTGTAACATAATATGTTATTTTTATTGAAGTTGACTATTAAACATTTGTTTAATATTATTTGCCCTTTTGAAGGTTTTAAAATAAAAAAAACTCTGAATTTGATTAAAAATCTGCATTTATTTATTTTATAATAATTAGTCATAATATAAGATTTTAAAATCAACTTTTATTGTACCAAAGTTTCAATAAAAAGTGATGTATACAAATTTGTCTTTTATTGTATATTACCTTTTTTTCTTCTTTTTCGATTGAACAAGCTTTATGAACATTGCATAGATAACACAGTAATGAAATAACTATGTGACATCAATATTATTGATTTGATACGGAATGATCCAACTATATCCGCAATATTTCGAGAGTAATCAACAATAATTCAATAATCAATTTCCATGAAAAATAATTAAAAAAAAATAAAATTTATTTTCACAGTTCATTAGAGCAAAATGTCAATAATTTCTCTATTATCATAATTTTCAGGAATTATTTTTGAAGATTAATTTAATTAAATATTTTTTCAATTATTGATAATCACCATCACTCATCACTATTAATAATAATAATAGCATTATTATTTTTGTTATTATTGAAATAATTACAGTAAAAGCTCTAAAAAGTTACCCAGGTTGTCTTTCTTACTCTTTATGACCAATTGAGACAGAACTACGGTAACTTTTAACAGCTTTCACTGTATTTCTAGGAAATGTAAATAGGAGATTCTTTCTTAAGCATTTAAAACGAAACACCAACAGGTTGATGAAACGATGTCAAAGGCAACGGATCTTTCTCAGCAAATGAGTACATAATAACACCATCTCCAATCAACCAAATTACCATCGTGATTGATTACATTTATGTCGACTCTGATATTCCATAACTGTAAATAAAAAACTTAATTATAGGTATAATAGGTAGAAAATACAATAAAAAATTTAATAGGTAGGTATAATAGGTAGAAAAGTTAAAAAGCTAAAAAAAAATTTGTAATATTTATTTTATTTCCGAAGACTTTATAATGAAAGCATGGAAGCATTGTGTGAAAAAATTATAATCTTGAGAAAATTGTCATGAACGTATTTTTAATTTTACAAACTGATGAGTAAAAAATTATTTTCTAATAAGAAAAATAAATTAACATAAAAAAATCATGGTACTGAAATGAACACATTAAAAATTTTTTTATTCTCAGACAAATAACTTAATTTATAAATTTATAAAAAAAATATCCCACCGAAATTCAAAAAAACTATCAAAGCAAATTTTTGTCAATGAATTATTTTTTTATTCGATCAAGAAGCGAATCTAACATATTGCCAGATGACAGCTAGTTTCAGTGTCACTAAAAAAATATTTTTATACTTCTAAAAATAGTTATAAGTTTCTATAAAAGACTTTTGTGTACCACTAATTATTTTTTTTATAATATACTAAAAATAATTACTTTATTATTGGCGACAATGCGTAAAGATTCCATGTCAAGACACCTAGGGTCCTTGAAACATCTTTCTAGTTGCTTTGTTAAAGCTATGATTTCAGATTGTCTTCCAACTTCAAAGTGCGTTGCTGCCAGTGGATTTAACTCGACATTCATACTCGACAATCCTTCACTTAGACGAGATAATTTCGGCTGTTGAATATCACACGATACATTCGCCATTACCCTGATGAAAATTAGTAAATATAATTAATAAAAATTTATGAAAATAAATACGTTACCAAAATATTGAACAATGCTTTTAAGCAAAGCAATTAAAAAAAAAGAATCAATTTTTAATGATAATTATTCCTGGGCTTTAGAAAAATAAACGATTATCAAAAAAATGTTTAAAGATTACATTGATCATTTTTTTGTAATTTCTGGAAGTGGAATTTGTTTCAAAACTTTGCTTATAATGATACTGAAGTTAGCAAACATCTGTTAAATTTTTACATTTTTATTTCAATTAAATTATTAATAAAGAATTTTATTGAAAATTCCACATCTAGAAACGTAAAAAAAAATTTTAAAGATATCAGATGACTGTTAACTTCACTATTGTTCGCTTAGGATTATTTACTTAAAAAAAAAAATCCCTAAAAATTGTCAGCTTCCTAATTTCACTATAAAAAAACTTCTAATGATTTTTTTCCTAAATTATAATTACCTCTTTTGTCCCAACGATGCTAAACATGATCTTCCAGCTTGATCTGAAGTGCAATATTAATTTTCTTGCTTTATTTAATTTTTTGCCATAAAGTCTCTAATAAAATTAAAAAAAAACTAATTATTTAGGTATAACAAAATATAATAAAACATAAGAAATAAAGTTGAATTAAATAACTTACAAGATTTTCCTCTAGGGTAGCATTTATCAATTTTTCCTCGCATTTTGTAATTGATACTTCCATTATTGTTTATTATCGTTGATGTAAATAATTCAATTTATATAATTAATAGTAGTTATTTACCTATATAAACATAACCTCTAAAAACACACGAGGACTTCTTTACTTTGATTTTCGTTAATTTTTTTAAAATTTCTTTAATTTTAACGTATATCAATGAATAAAGTGAAGCAGTATCACAATTATCACCTGAAGTATAATGCACTGTGTATTAGTGCCCCAATAATTAGAATTTATTTAATGACTTTGTTGTTGTTTCCTCACACAAGTCATCTCTTATATTTACAAACACATGTAGGCAATTAGCATTATAGGCTCATTTAATTTTTTTTATCGGTTTATTTATTATAGGCTTGTAACAGGGCACTTTGCCCCTGATCGATAAAATCGATCGCGCGTGATAATAATTCGACGCAGCACTGGCGTCTCGATCTTCGGGACCCGATAAGACCCGACTAGTAGTAAGTGGGAGGGGGTATTTCGGGGAGCCATGAAATAGCTGAGCAGTGCGTTGTGTCGACAGAAGTGGTGTAGTGTTGAAACAAGTAACATCGAGGAGTCCAAGAAGGAAGCCATTAGCAACCAAAGAGTTCCTTCAAACCAATTGACGCCAGGTATTGGACTTTGGTAGTGTTGAGCCTTGGGGGTCACATCCGCCTCACGGAAAATACTACTTCTCATTTATTAAATTAATTCGGTAATTCAATTCGTCTTATAATATTTTATTTAATATTAATTCAACTGTTGTAATTAATTTAATTGTTAGCCTTGAGAACAATTCCTCCAGGGGATTGTTACACCCGAGGAATGTTCCAGACCTCCAGGGTTTAGTCATAAGTAATCAAGTTATTAATTCAGCTGGATAATAATAATTAACACCTTTGATTCGAATTAATGAATTCATTTTTCATTAACAAATATAATTTTCTGAATATCGAGAAAAACATTCCAGTCATAACTCACGACTAGTCAAGCGTCTCTCGGTACCCGAGGTCAAGCTAACTACGCAGTAACGGCGTCCATTTTGAGAGCACATTCCTTAAGAATTGGTGACGCCGTAGATTTATGAAATGAATACCTGGACAAATGTTATAATTTTTAACGATTGAATTACCACTGAATTATTTTATTTTATTTATTAATTGTGGAAAATTATTTAATTATTTATTCGGAACAATTTTAATTACCGGAATTGATTGTTGAAAAAACTGCGACGCATTTTAGAAATTTAACACCGTGAATAATTTTCCGTACCTACTTTTTTCACCGAAGTGGATTATTTATTAATTAATCATTATTCACAATTTGTCAGAAAATAAGTATTCCACGGTTTATTAATCATTGAAAATTAATTTAAATTGCGGCGCAAATAAGACTGATACACCCGCAGAAAAGAACTTGAGGCACGTAATTTTCATATTGAGTAAAATTATAATTTATTATCTAATTAATGGCCAAATTCTGCTTGGGGAGTCATATATTGAAATATTGTCTTGTAAAAATTTGTCAATAATTTAGTATTGTTATTCCGGTAAAATCATTTATAAAAACTATTTATTCGTTTGGATTAAATCCGAGAAAAATTTAGTTAAAATTACAAAAGAATATTCTAAGAATTTGTTAATGCGTAGAGATAAGCTCGTGTTAAATTTGGAAGGAAAGAAGCGTCGGTTTAAGCCTGAAATTTTAAGAAGTAAATTTGTTTAATTTGTGAAGATAAAGTATAGAGTTTTTATTTTGCGAGCTAATGACTGATGAGTTTTAATGAGAATCTAAAGTTGACATTTTTCGGAGTTAATTGTTGTAAATCCGGAAATAAATTAGTAAAGTAGAGTCGGTGTGTGTGTGAGACGTGTGGGGTATGTGTGTGTGAGTGCTACCAGAGTTCCTTCGCAGTCGTGCAGTCCGTTGCGAGGTGTTTCTCTGGCGTAGAGCGTGAGAGTCCGGTGGACAGCGCGACGTAAGGGGTATGTGTGTGAGAGAGCTGCAGAGCCTTCTTGGCTTATGTTGCAGTCACTAGGCTGTTGCTTCTGTAGCAAGGCGTTATTGATAAGCCCTCGTGCACTGCAGTCTTTGTACGAGGTGTCTTATTGATAAGTAGTTCTAAGTCGGAGTAGCCGGTTCCAGCCCGAAATCCTCCAGTAGTTATAAGTTGTAGTAGCGACTTCCCGGTGGGAAGCGTGAAGTAAGAAAATCGTAGTCATAAGTCGTAGTTGTAAGTGAGTAGTGTAAGTGAGTTGGGAGTACGTACAAGTGTACGAGTTGTGATTTTATTGTTAATAAATTTTGGCCAATTGTTAAATAAAGATTTAATTATTTCAGACCACCTTTCTCTCTCTCTCTCTCCCTGTAGAATAAGAAGCTCAGCTCTGGCATCAGGTTCCAGGAACCGAGAAAATAATCCTGGTGGCGCCCTATTTAGCATTAGAGTCATTTTGTTGTTATATTGTTAATTATTAATTTTATTCAGGATCAATAAGTACGGGAAATAAACCACCCGTTACAGGTTCGTGAGTTATCGTTGTCGTTAAGATTTTCAGTTCAATCAGTTTGTGTTCAAAAGTATATCATTGATTCTAAAAAACTGCGTGGAATTCTGCCAACTGCATGAAAATCGATTCATTCATTTAGAAATTATTGCAGTTTGAAAATTCAAAAAATACTGTTTATTAAACTTCTATCAGACTTTTGAGCTCGAAGAACTCAAAAGCATACAAAAGCTATTTCTTTGAGCTCAGAAAGCTCAGAAACGTCATAAGTGCAATTTCAAGCGTTTAGGTATGGAATTGGCGGGAAGTTGCAGGGATGGCCTTTAGGGTCAACCGTTTTCCAGATCTTTTTTCCTATTTTTTTTGAGATTTCTCCGAATTTCTGAATATCTATGGGTCCGAATCGGTTCAAATTTTCAGGAAATCTAAGTTTGGCGAAGCCCTTTCGAATGGCATTAACCGCGATGAAATCGGTTCTACCGTTCAAAAGTTATAAGAGGTTTACATACTTATATATATACACACACATACAGACATAGTGACACTCTCGCGGGAATAGTCAGGGAAGCTTCCTAGGACCTCACAACGTCGAGATCTGATGAAAACTCGATTTTCGAAAAACGGGGTAAAACCAATAACTTCCCGATTTTTGAAAATTTTCAATTTTCTTAGCGGGAAGTTAAAAATTGGAAAACGGTTGACCCTGAAAGCCATCCCTGCAACTTCCCGCTCATTTTGTACTTAAACGCTAAAAACTACACATTACATTTTTGAGCTCTTCGAGCTTAAAAATATTATTTTTGTGTTAATTTGAGCTCTTCGAGCTCAAAACTCTAATAGCAGTTTAATGACACAATTTTTTGAGTTTTCAAACGGCAATAACTTTTGAATGAATAAACCGATTTTCACGCAGTTGGCGGCAATCGACGCAGTTTTTGAAGCTCCATGAAAAATTTTCAAGTTTGATCATCGTTCTACCGATGAAGCCTCAATTCGGATTTGCTAGTTAATATTGGAGGCGTCACACGATACGCATTACGAGCCACGCCTTGTCTGACGCGCGCGTGCTCGCAACCTGGAACTTTGTCTCGCTCTTACTTTTTATTCTTTCCCACTCAGCCACTTGTACATCCCCACTTGAAGATGTTGAAGTAGACAGTAACTGTGTACAGCTCTATACTTTAGTCTACGGCTCTTCCCACACCAGGTCGGATATCAGTTTCTTCCTGAATAGTGCCAAGTTTTACTTGTTTGACCAATATATTTTCTCCAATTTTTAAGCCTGTTGATGCAGTGGATGGTCATATAACTTAATGGTGATACAACATTAACGATTTATTAACTATTATTTATTATGTGCAAATTATCTATTTTAAAGTTATGTGTAATTATACACTAAAGTGATTTAAACCAAAAAGGCTGTTAAAAAATTTTTCATAGTGAATAAAATAATTATTGTTAACTACAAATATATCTAATCAATTTAATAGTTAGATACTATAGTGTTGTGAAAATAAATTTTTTTAAAATGAATATTGTTAAGTTTAACTAATTACGTTAAATTTAAGATTAATTAAAGTGAAATTGTATTGGTGGAAAGTCGTGAGCCACTGTCATTGGAAAATGTTGCCGTATCAAGTAGCTATGGACTACGGAGGCTTCCAAAGACAAAATTCAGTCGGGGTTGGCACACCTCATCAGAGCCCAACTAGTACTCTTAACATCAACCCTGCTTTTACTCACTCTTGGTTCGTACCGGCAGACCTCTGTGTCCCGTACAAACAGAATCAGGGTCCTCTTCTCGAGCCAGGGCATGTTGCTTATCTTATATTTTTATTTATATTATATAAATTAATTTAGAAAATGAATAATAAATTATTTGTAATGAATTATAAAGACAATATCCATTTTTGTTTATTTGTTTCGAGCTTAAGCACATATAACAATTAATTGGTTTAATAGTGTCACGAATGTTATACCCATCAAAAACTATTAATCGAGGAAAACAGTATTTTTAAAAATAAAGCTTGAAAATTATTCCTATACACATGTTGACCTGCACTATTTTTAAAAAAGGGCAAGGTAAACAACTTGTACACAGAAAAAAAAGTCATCTTGAGTCAAGTAATATTTACTTGATTCAAGTATATTCAACGGAAGATAAAATATATTCTTGAGTTAAGTAAATTTTTTTCTTGTATTGGTCAATCTTGGTTTAAGCAAATATTCCCTAGTTCCAACAGGCTTACCAACTTAAGTGAAGAAAAAAACCTCTTAATCCAAGTAAATCATTCTTTTGGTTTTTGAACTTGCTTGATGTACACACGGGCGCATCGAGGCCCGAGTAGGACAGCAGCCACGCGGAAACCCATTTTCAACATTAAATAAAAATTATTGTTTATGGAGCTAGAGTTCCGGGAGTCGAGACTTTTTTTCAGAAATTTCATCCTCTTTAAGAGCATGTAATACAGTCTGTTGTCGGTAATTCAGTTTGGACTAGTGATAACAAATGCCAATTGAATATATATCGGATTGTTTATTTGAAACACATAAAATGCACTGAAGATTATCAGGTTGACTGTCAATACTCCCAACACTGTTCAAAAAAATTAAACTATAGTTTATTTACTATAGTAAATTAAATTTTTTGTTGATAATTAGTTTTCTATTCAAACCTAGTTGCATTTTAATAATTCTGTCTTATAAGTAATCTAAACTAAAGTAAAGATTAACCAAAAAATTAAATCAATCTCAAAGATTATATTGGTTGTAAGTTTATGAGTAATTTTTTTATAGTAAAGTTTATTTACTTGAATATATGATGGGCCCGGAGATAAGACAGTTTTACGTGCGAACTCTACCTATTTATTTATCATTTTGTTATTTTTTTTCGATGATTAAGGTAGTTCTTTCCCAACCTATAGTTTATGCTACTGCTGTCTTCGTCACGCGCTAGTGTTGCCTCTCTTACGGGCTATTGCTCACTTACTTCCACGCATGACTTTATTTGTTTACTTTACTAGTTTATCAATGATTTCTCAAAAACTATGTGGTGGGGAATTCCAGAATTTTGTAGGGTAATTATACATGTATTAATCTAAGTAATGTTAGTTTTTCGTGAAATTCTTAAAATTTCTTCAATACAAAAATCATAAAACTCGCGGTTTTCTCTCTCTTTTCCCATACCACCTGTGTAAAAATGTCATTTTCAATTGCAATTATCTTCGGTTAGACGTGGTCAATCGTCTCTAAATTTTAACAGCGTGTGTATTATGTATTTAACTACTTCTATACGGAGTTTGAGAGATTTCTTGAATTTTTGCTTAAAGGGCCGAACTACCTTAAATTTAAAAATAAAAGAATCAATTCACGAAGCACTATTATTAACATACATCTGCCAAGTTTAATGTTTTTTTGTTCAAAAATTACTTGGTCAAAAAGCGTCTCAGTATTTTGTCCAAAATTTGAATATCCTAGGTAGGAAAGAACAACTGGACAAGGCTTGGACCAAGCCTGGGCCAAGCGTCACCAGCCTTGGGTAAGGCTTAGCACGAGCCTTGGCTAAACATTGGGCCAAGGCTCAGTTCAAGCCTAGGATGATAACTATGTCCCCAAGCCTTGGGAAACCAAAACACAAGGCTTGGGCCGAGTCTTGGGAAACAAATGGCCCAGGGCTCGGACCAAGCCTTGGGGAACTAATTTGCCAGGACTAAAAAAAATGTAAACATTATTAAAAAATTAAATTTGATTTTAATTGTATTCGTGATTTTACGGTTTATTATCAGCTTTACGTTATCGTATCTCGCGATTACACCAGATTACCTTGAAAAAATCTTTGCTCACGATGGGAATCGAACCTGGGTCACCCGCGTTAAAGTCTCGAACTGTACTGACTTCGCTGCACTTCGTAGTAACACTAACAGATTAGTTTTAGTTACTTAAACATCACTCAGTCATTTTGCTTTATTACATGATGTTCCATAATTAAAATTGAACTTATAACTGCTAAAAATTTTGTATAGTTCAGATAATATAATTTGTTGACAGAATACAGTTATGAAAAGTATTTTTTTTTAATTCATTTGATTTTAACGAAATAATTAAATTTTCTATTACCAAAAATAAATACATGATCATAATTGAGTACATCTAAATTAAGAAATTGTCACTTTTAATTTATAGAAAAGTAACTACTTAGTATAATTTCATTCAATAATTTTTTTTTTACGGAATGTTCTTACTATTATTTAAGATAATGTGACTATAAATAATGAATAATTGAAGCATTTTTTAGCGTTAGATTTTCTTCATAAAAAATTAATATTTTTTATCATTGAAAAAAATTTTTCTATGATTCAATTAAAGCACCAAGCTAGTTCTGAATTTATATTTGGTCCGATAGTAACTTCCCAAGGCTCAATTTGGAAATATCGAACCATTGAGCCAAGTCTCAAGTAGTCTCAAGCTAAACCCGGGCCAAGCCTCGGGTGTCAGTGACTTCCCAAAACTATAGTTTCACTGATAGATATATTTGTAGAAGTAATTTGTATATGTATAAGAGAGTGATAAACAAACTTACTTGTTAACAATTTTTTTCAATATTTTTTTTTGGAGAGAAATAAACATTTTTAAAATATTCACAATATGTATCAGTATTAAATTTATCATTTTTTATTCACATGGAAACTATTTTTTGAGCAGTTTCGAGAGTTTTATACATTTTTCAGCAACAAAGAAATGATAGTTAAAAATAATTTGTCAACGATTAATAACTATATTTATTAAAACTTTTCTGTTGACAAGTCATTTATTAAATTCTATTAAATTCTTCTATCAGTGTTCGAAGCATTGGGCCAAGTATCGAACCGGGTTTAAGTCCGTGGTGATTTTTCAAGGCTTGGTTGAAATGTATTGAGACATTGGGCCAAGCATCGGACCAGGCCTCGGCCAGTTGTAATCTCCCAAAGCTTGGTTCCAAAATATTGAACCATTGGGCCAAGCTTCGGGCCAGGCTTGGGCCAGTGGTGTACCCCAAGGCTCGGCTTGAGAATGTCGAACCATTGGGCTGAGCCTCGGACCAGGCTTCGGCCAGTCGTGATCTCCCAAGGCTTAGTTCCAAAATATTGAACCATTGGGCCAAGCCTCGGGCCAGGCCTGGGCCACTGGTAACTTACCAAGGCTTGGCAAAGTAACAAATGGTCCAAGGCTGGGCCATTTGTCAGCATTGGCAAACCCTACCTGGGATTCTCTGTCCTACATGTTCTTAAGGATCTTTTTTCTGATTGTCGATATCACTTATAATTATAGAGTTATTAACGCAACAAATTTCTAACCGTGTACTTTGTATGAGTCGAGCAAATACTTGTATATACATATATTTTTGTCACTAACACACTTAACTGTAAAGCAGTAATATAATGGGAAATCAGCACGTTAAAAATTAATCAAAAATGTCTAATTAAATGAACACAAAAAATAAAAATCATGCATAAGGTTATTTTTTTAAATTTAATTCTTTATTAAAAAAATCTCGGTTTAGTTCCAAAAAATCACGTCGCCAACGTTGGCGCTACTTTCTCAAACCAAGAGAAAGATTCACTTGGGATAAGTATATGACATTATTAGTTCAAGAATAAATTTTTTCAACTAAGATAGCAGAATAACTTGAAACGAGAAGTAAATTTTGAGGACAATGATTTTCTTGAGTCGAGATGACTTTTTTTTCTGTGTATAAATACATAGCTTTCCACTGGTTTATTAGTTATACACAGAAAGAAAATTAAAGTAAAAATTACAGTAGTAACATCGTAATCTAGTCTTTCAATATTTGAATTTTTATAATTATATTTCAAAAATTACTATTTACTCATGAATTCTTACGATGTGAATATCGTCATTCTCACAAATGAACTTAAGTAAATGAGACAGAAACCAGTAATTTGCGACGCTACCGCCGAGAAATGACAAACTTTTGTATGGACGGTTTTGTTAAGTGACTGAATAAAAGTCTCGAATGGTGTCTCGGATAGCTCAAGTGAAAAAGCCATTAATAAGTAACCAAAAGATAGTCGGGTTCGATTCATCGGTCATCTAAATTAATTTTTCGGTGACTGAAAGATTCTCACTGAGTGATCCTCCGTTTCCCTTAATCTTTTGTTCTCCCCTTTCCGGAATTTGTCGTAATGACAAATTACCGTACACAGTAAAAAATTTTGCGTCATTGCGTCAAAAAAATTTGTGTTAAAAAATTTTAATTTTTATGTTAAAT